CTGAGTACGCCTTCCCCCCCCCCCCCCCCGACCGCAAGAAGAAGTCCAAGATGAGCCGGGATGAACAGATTTTCTATTACAGCACTGCACCAGTTATATAGCTTTACAACAAGGGCGAAGCCAAGCTACTAAATGCATGAGATCCAACAGGCATGGAGAAAACACAAAATGGAACAAGCAGATGAGAATCGCGAAAATTACGAGCCAATGAAGTGCGGCAAGGAAAATAGTGTCTGCGGAGTTAATCCCTGGGGGTAACCTTCTGGTGAACGACCATTAAAAACGACGAGTGGCGTCCAATCAGTGTGGAGAAGTGATGCGTTTAAACAAATGCCAGAACAGTTGATAGTGAGAATGATACACACCAGGAAAATAAAAACAGGTATAATAAATATGTGTCGGCTGAATAATACATCCACGTGAAAAAGCTAAGTAACGCTGAGCAAAAGAAACCAATCAGAATGTCCACAGAATGAGACGGCTGAAATGAGCTGTGAGCGATTGCGAATGAGGCTGAGGAAAACGGCGTGTCCAAAATGTAGCACAGAAGCAGATAACTGCGCAAACAAAGAAATAGGCAACTAAAATAAATCATGAAACTGAGGGTTAAGTAGCCAGCTTCCTAACAATTGCTATGGATACTCTGTCAGAGGAATTGTTTGGATGCAAACTCGCTGACAGCCATCTGGTTGATTCTTATTTGCAAACAAGTCGCGCAACAGAAATAAACCGGGACCTGCCAACCACCTCAATTTTAGCAGCTGAGGATGTGAATAATGAATCAGACTACCAGCAGGAACAGGATTCTACAAAGGTTCTGAAAACGTATACATTCACAGACGCACAGGGTGAAGTTGATGTTTCGCGCTCCTACGCAATACATATCGGACACACTGGCATGGACGTGAGTGAAAAACTAAATTCTTTTCATTTCAATTGCCAAGCAACAGAACACTATATTTGATATTTTTCATCTGGTGGATAATGATTATGACAATAGAAATGTGTGCATGATATTTTAAAGGTTGTGAATTTCGACGATTTGCAGATCAGTTTCTAAACTGTTGACTCACAATCTATGAGATTATCGCATTATTATTACTCATCTATCCCACATTATGCACCACTACTGAGGTTGCAAATGACGGCGGCCTTGATACTACGTTCGTGACAAACATCTTTGCCGATGTTTTGCAATTAAAGTCATAGTGAATTACGCGCAGATTGCCATTTCTGACAACCTAACTGTGTGAAGCGGAGTTTTCTGCAGTGTTAGCAGCCGAAACAAAGCGACCAAATTAATTAGACCTAGGCAGCACACATCAAGCGTTATTATCTCCTATTTCCCTCCGATGGAGCAGTCTCGTTGCAGAGGAACACGCTTATGGTTGTTCGTAATTTAGCGTTCTAGTAAGTTAACTTTATATATCTTTGGTGTAGCTGGATTTTATTTTCAAGGCATGTTCAGTCACAATTACATTAAAATTATTCACTCAAAACAATCTAAAATGTAAACGTTCAACAAACCGCCTCCGCGGAGCAGGGTACACTTATCAAACGGCAACCGGTCCACGGCGAAACATAGGTTGGGAGTCATCGCCCTAGAGTGCACTGGCACACTATACCCCATGTTTCACGAGACCGGCTGCTTGTAGTGTAATCCCTTCGCAACAAAATAGTACATGTCTGCGTACTTGCGGAACAAGGAGGAAAGTAATATAATTCACCGTTTAACATATCCTTTGAAAGGAAGTTGCAAGGCTGTAATCAAACATCTATCACATGCCTCCTTCATCCCTCCATTGGTGATTATATCATTCCACCCGGTAGCTGTCATGTCTACCTCGATCAGATTTGACCTGTGTGGTTCGTATGGGGGCGAATTGTTTGGAATATGATTACCTTCTACCCCACGTTCCACTTAGACGTGTGGATCCATCACAAAAGTGATATTTCATCGCATAAAGAAAGAAGTTACGGGTAATGATTGGTATCCATTCTGTTGCGACGGAGATCGTTCCGCTCCTTATGCTACGGACAACTTGACTTCGAGGTCAAACGGTAACTTCTACTGCGCCTTCAACTATCCGACCGAACTAGCCTCAACACCCACCAAAACGAGGCAACCTATCTGGGCATCTTGTTTAGAGCACCTTTTTAGTGCCAAGCCAACGCTGTGCACTGTTGTCCTGCGTGCATCACTTGCGCCCTAGCCTCAGACATCCCCTTTGCTCATTTACAAAAGGGGCTTGACTATACTTCAGGCTTATACCCGGTGCTCTGAGCATACGCGTTTCCCTTCCCTCAGGGACTCTGTGCGTTCCAATGGATGTCTCAGGCACCCCCATTGTCCAGTGAGGACGCGCGGCGCACTGTACACCGGCTGAGCTCCGTTTAGTCAAGTCTCAATTGCCGTCCATTTGAGTTGGACCCCGCTAGTCTCACAGTTTTCCTACCCACCTCCGAAAGCGTGAGTATTCTGCGCGTAACTGTGTTCAGTCTCTACGCTATACCGAATTCTATTGGCTGGTAGCCTCTGCCCACGCAGTGCTACGTGGATGGAGATGCGATAATTATCGGATGAGAGCCGTTGCATTAAAAAAAGCTTCTGCACTAAGAATGATAGCTTCTGAACTGAGGATGTAAGCGATTGCGTTAAGGATGTTAGCAAGTGAGAAATGGTATAGACTCACTTCAGCCAGTCGCACCTATGCGCGGAATGGGCACGTGCTCGGTAGCATGTACACACGCAGTCGGTCAGGGTGGTGTGAACTCACTGAGTAACGTAGCACAGCTTGACCTAGTGAACGGGGTGTCGGAGACGTAAGAATGTCTATAGCCAGACAGTCACGTGAGAGCGTCGCGATCAGACGGCACATATGAGTCATTGTAAGCACGGGTTCCTGCATACGCGTTCGAACTCGGTTGCTAACCGGTGCGTAACCTACCACAATAGCTTGTCGTCGGTAAACCGTTGTCATTTTTGTGCCGAAATTTTTGCCTGGTTATCTGGATATTGCACAGTGTATACTCCCTACTCCACTGTTTTTTCATGTGTAGGTTGCGTTTAGTTGTGCAGCAGTAGAGCACCAGATGATGATAACGAGGTTTCCCAGTCTCAACATCCAGTGAAACATCACGAATTGTCGTTGGATCTACCTGTTTTCATATTCCTCCTAACTTGGCGTCACACTTTCTCATCCCCTTGGTATTATATTCTACCTGGCAATCTTAAAGCGGATAAGGTACCTGTTCCTGGCTGGATGAAGACCGTGGCCTAGTGGTGATTAATTTAACCGTCGTCGTATCTGTAATTTCGCAGTACCATCCTAGCTTCTAGAAAGTACCCTACCTCTGGAGTGCAAAAATGCATCGCTCTATGGCGTGCGCGAAGTATGTGAGTAGCAAGCCTGGATGCATTCTCCATGTTGATCGTTTTTCCACTACACTCTGCGATCAGGTTCGTCCATTACTTCTATTCTTCTAGCGAAGATAAAGCTATAAACTAAACACCATGGTCTTACAACTGACTCGAAGAAACAAAGGCACAAAGCATATCTCAACTTCGGATGCGCTTGTAGTAATCGAAAGGATCAAACTTTATCTTCAATATAATTCTGATTCGAAGTGATCTGCTACACCCCAACCTACACATGTTGGACTCTAGAACCAACTGGTGTGTGCCTGGCTCCTTTCTACTCTAAGTGGTATACGCCGATGGTCCGTTTACTCTTGTGCAGTGTAGCTCTTTCATGCTACCTATGCTAGTCGTCCTCGCTGAATTGGGACGCACCTTTCTTCATGGGACTGCAAGCATTCCTGTAGTTGGTTATCATTGTAGAGTTTGTAGAAAGTCGTTCAATCTGCTCGCGAGTCTCTCGAATTCAAGTGGCCGTATAGGGGTCTGTGGGGATTCTCACCCACTCGCATCATATTGAGTCGCTTTTCTTTCATACTAAATGTTATTGATCACGAATCGCTCTACTGAATCTGTCTTTCCGCAGTCATCTTGCAGAATCCTAAACGGTGCGAAACGATACGCATTGTAGCAACAAAGATTTACAGTGCACATCTGGCTTCACTTTTTAGGAAACTACTCATTGAAGTGCTGTGCACGCCACGATTATCTTATACAAACGTTTTCTGTTCTTGTGTTACACCTGTGTTTATTGTCGCCGAGTGTGCACCCTGATCTTCAATATGTCCTCTTGTACTGTACTTCTCTTTTTCCTGGTGTACAGCCGGATCATGATTATATGTGTACGATTTTGGTTAATTTGATACCTTATGTTACACCAATAGAGTGATATTGCACAGACGACTCACGGGTGCGGGATATTCTTCCTTTTATCTACATGCAAACCATTTTTGTATTCATGCTGATGAAAATATTGCGCTCGTTTCATCTGCCCGGTGGTTTTTCAACGCGGATCTGTAGCCTGTTTAGCATTTCTACCCACCGGATGCACAAACCTTCCGTGTATTCAGCCTTACTGGATGGGCGGAAACGTCGTTCATATGGTAAATGTTGATCATACTAATTCTTTCGCAACATACGTCATATTTCAAGAATGTGAGTGCTTCTAGTCACCCATTTCGTTTCAGAAGGGAGGCGGACACCATATCATACCGTCTGCTAAATCGATACCGCATACGCTGTTAACTTTCTATCGCCACCTGCTTTACTCACTTTAGCTGACTCTCCTGGAAGACTTGTTGGTTCCGTTACGAGAAGCACAAGGAAGCCATTGGGAATTCAAGACCGATATTGTGCACGCCACCTATCTGATCTATGTCCCAATACCGGCCACATCAATTTCTAGGGGGGGGGGGGGCTAGTCATCAATTGGTCTGTTTCAGCCTGTCTCTGATTTCTACTCTCCGTTTTGTCACTCAAACATCCTTACTCTGCCTACTACATCTGCTCTTCCCATCCTTGTGCCAATTATGTGATTTAACTTGGTGATGCTCACATCCAGCTCCGGTGATAAAATAATAGCTAATCAACGGAACTATGTAATGTTGGTTTTCAGAAATAGCTTGTGTTCAACACAAAATAAACTGAAAGTTTCAGTGGTTTAGAATTCACTCTGTCTTTAAATAACACCGCAGCATACAGTGAAGTACAATGATTGCTTGTTACTTTAACTGGACAGATAAAAAGGAAATCAATGGAAATTCCACCTTTAGCTGCATTACACGTAGTCGACCAGCGTAGCATCCTTACCGTTTGCCACGCGTGCTCCATTTTTGCTCATCTGATCCTGTTTTGGCGCGGTGTTTGCAAGAGCCTCCACCGTCTTGTTTTGAACGCACTGTGATCGTGTTGGTTGGATGAACAGATGCCACCATGCTGCAAGTATCTCCCCGGTTACCACATCACCTGCGTTAGATCGCATCATTCGCAGCAGGAAGGCACCATCGCTGCGAACAACCTCATCGAAGAAATCCTCAAGTGCAGGATCCTTCATAGTCACTCTACAAGCGATACAGTCGGCCGGATGCTCATCTACCGGCATGTTCTGTTGAGTCATTAAGGACTGGAGTATAAATTTCCGGACAAAATCTGCTTGACAACTGTGTCTTACCGCATGAAAGATCCAACTAATTAAACTGGCTGCCGTGATCACCGATACACTTGCAATCCAGGCCCATAGGAAGATGTAAATTTTTTCATTAAACATATTCACTGGCAGAGCACATATTGCAGTGTATACATTACTTTTTGTACCCAGATGACGCACAGTCACAGGACAGTAGGTCTGGCGGGGAAAAAATTCACTTTCTTCCCACTCGCGCTTAGCCGTCAATGTACTTGCGAGTTTGTTACCAAAACTCAGTATGTCTCCACGGAAACCAAGAAATGTACGAATGATATGTAGCTGACCGATAGCGTTGACTAAGTATAAAATCTTCACAAATATGTACGCCACCGTAATCCGATTTCCAATTTGTTTGCTCGTAACAGTGATGGTGCTTCTCGGTGCGTTTGACTTCTGATGTTGCCACTTTGACCATTGCGTGGAACAGTTGTCTCTGCGTTGTTTAGCAAGACGAAGTAGCTGACTTGCAGCCACCTCAATGCATCCAGTGCGTCTCTTTCCGTCACATTCCACGTTCGCCTGCTGCACTTTCTTCAATATGGACTCCAAGTTCTCGCCCATACCGTGTTGCACAAGACACTGCCAGATGATGTGTGGAATGAAGAATAACGCCGCTTGTACGGTGAGACAAAACGGGACCCACTGGTAAAAAGCTAAAATGAAAAAGCATTAGAGCGCGCTTTGTAATTCCTCGATCTGGAGGTAAAAACATATGAAACAACTGTGCCAGAAACTGTCATTTGCTATGCAATGCATGATTAGGTGTTTCAGGTTGGACATCATATAACATCTCTTCCTGAATACTTGTGTGTTGCATTTCTTTTAATCAGTGATATATTAAGAATTGGAAACGCATCCAAAACGTTTGCACTCCTAAGTGGGATGAGAAAGTGCCTTGTGAAGGTGCGGCTAACAGGACATGAACACACACACAATCATCTAACGGCAAATGTGGCTGATTCGTGCAGTTACGCACCCGTCGGTTTGGTTTGCCTTCGTATGCTCCTTCACTGTAGCAAAGACAATGAGATCGCATTCTCCGTGGTTGACACACTTGTGGTGGTGTTGCGCATTGCACCTCAGCACATCGGGAACTTTAGTCACAAGTCAACTGCTGTTTCGAAATCGATAGCCTCCTATAGTACAACAACTATTGCGTCCTTTCTTACAAACTTTGGCCACTGCACAACACGCTACTAGGGTGGTTGAAACATCAGATGAACTTGTTTTTCTAATCCCAACTTTGCGATAACTTAGAAGTAGTCCGCCTGATCAACCAAGGCATTGCGAAATGACTATGCATTTGGTCGCTCATTTCTACTCATAGCTACTAATTTTAATGGCCACGACCCACTTCTAGTGTGGTGAGTGTCCGACTCAGCCGATGGAAAAAATATTGTGTGGTTTGAATTTCATCTCGTCGTGGTACTCTTTATCACTTAGAATCTCGTCGTCTGTGACTCATAACTATCGTGTAAATCATTTGGCGTTCGTTGCGTTTGTTGTTCCATCTGGAGACGATTAACTACTTTAGCTTTGATTTGCGTGAGATACATGTACTTGGGAGTGGGAAACCGTAAGTGTGGCTTGGCTAGTCCTACGTCTACTTAAGTGACATGCAGTTAGGACCATGTTGTCATGGTTTTTATGAGCTCTGCGAACAATAACTGCATACTAGGAGCTGACGGTTATCAAAACTACTAATGTTTTCACCAATGTGGTCTCTCTATCACTGGTTTATCCAGTGGCGTTCCCTTTGCGGAATGGGATTCTCGCACACTTCCGTTACGATCGGTAAGAAAACTGGCACGCTCGCCTTTTAAAAGCTTCCTTTCGTTGACATTTGTGTTCCATAGCGATTCGTTTACACTTAGATGCATCGCTATGACAAACCACGATAACCTTACTCATTGTGTCATGTAAAGCGTGTTGATATCATGAACAACCGTTATAATGTTTTCCGCTCTTTTCACCATGGCTCCATTGGTCTGCATCAATGGCGTCATAACCAGCTTCGTCGCACAAGTAACACGCTGGTTAAACATAACATTTTCTCAGCGCAAGCGCACACCAGCGCTTTCACCACGAAAACTGATCACTATCCGTCAACTGACTCCATTCATGCTTGAGTTGGTAGCGTATTCGGTTGACGTTAAGGAACCCTTGCGCAGCGTTCTGAGGTGCGCGCGTGTTTTAACAAAGCCCCAAAAACGTAACCAGTTTTTTTCTCACAAAGTTGTTTGTTTTTCGCAGTCCGCTTCATGTGAATGCCCAAAGTTCACACATATGCGAATATACGCACCCAGGTACTAGAGTTTGGGTGTCCAGCACCATGATGATTCGTTCCATGGTGCTAACTGGAACTAACGATCGTTTCTTTGGTTTCGGCACACCCACCCTCTGGGTTCCGAAAACGCTTCTGGCACACAACGGGAGCACAGCAGATATTTTCTTTGAAATTAAAAGTGATATCTATGCTCTAGTGTGGTTTGTTTTTATAGACGCAGCATACTGTACGAATTCACCAGCACTGCGATGATTCCCAAAGGATGAAGCGGCATACAGCGCTTTCCCGGGAATGTGAGGGCTGCCTGACAGGCTAGGTACGATAAATTTCTATATATATCATTCAACTTCTCCCTTGTCATCTCTGTTAGCCTGACGCCACAGTCGCACGCTCAAGTTCCTTCGCTCTCGGCAAATCTAGACTACTAAATTCAAGGCTTGTTAGTCATGTCTGTGCTTTCTCACCACGGAACTCAATGCCGTTGGCAATTATTTCACTGGGCATCCGGCGCTTTCCTATCAAAACCACCAGTGAGTGTGGTACCTAACCGGTAGTTGCACCACATGTACACCGTTATCGTGGATGCCAGAGGTCTCGGCCGGTATCCGTTCATTATCGCCAACTTGCTGATGTTGACTCTGTCTGTTGCTCACACCGGTAAGTTTTAACGAGAAACAATTATATCTACGACTACAGTGCTTTTCTCCCAATGGCACCTGGGTTTCACTGGCCTCACGGTCCCCCATAGTGAATGCAATAGGTTTGGAGCGGCATACTCGTAACAGATAGTACACCCCTTTGATCGACCTCAATGAGCTGCCGTTTAGTGGTATCAACTCCCCTCAATGGGCAAGCACTTTTTGTCATAGCGTGAACAAGCCGTGAGAAGAGCTAGCCCTTTATTGATCTTTAAAGACGCTATATTCTTCCTGAGGTCTTTTGCTGTTTTCTGGCTATTTTGTGGCAGTCCTAGCCCAAGGATGTCACTCTGCACTCGATCAAAAGGTAGAAGAGGTTTCAACTAGGGTCTTTGCTTCTGTTTCGTTTTTGTGTGTGATGTGTTCCTATTTTTCTGCAATTTTAGGCTTAGGCGGGTGCAGCCAGCTGTATACCTGAGGTGTGAAACTCTTGTAACCGTTGAATCAAAGCATCTGCCTACATCGAGACAACACATTGCACACTGTCTCATGCACTCGGCGATTACTTGTTTTGTGGACCCGGATTCCAGCAGGTCTGTTTAAATCCAATCCACTTTCTGACGGTGTTTGTGAATGCATTCCACCTATGTACCAAGCACAACTAGATCGATTTTTAGCTATTTCGACTCGGTAGCTGATCTGTTGATTCGGGTTTTACGCCAGCATTAACAGCGAAGAAAACGACATGGATTCGAACCCATGCAGCAGGGGGCAGTTAGCAAGGACGGTTCCTTCTAGCCCCACAAATGGAGTGAACGATTACATACCGCGTGAGTATCAATGGAACAATGGCATAATACAGATAAAAAGCCGAGGCTTAACAAGTCCAAGCTCAAAAATGTAACGACAAAGGAATCGCGCATCTCTAAACTCACTATGTTATCCACGTTGCATACTTTTAAATCCGTCTGCTCTGATTTTGTGAGAGTTATGGTGAGCTCAATCTTTACCTACTATGGTCACTCGATGAGCGAAATTCATACCATGTGACGCAAATGGTGTAGTCCATCTCCGGGTGGTTTTTCAATGAATAACTTGGGCGCAGCATTAGCCAAAGTCGGAAGAGCGTTCTAAGGCTAACAAATTCCTAGAGAAATATTTCCGGCAGTATTCCATTTAGCTGTATTGGGTGGCCAGTTTCAGCTAGTGGCCTCTCAGCTTTGTTTTAGGGGATGGCGGCAAACCGTACTAGGCTTTTACACAATCAGATGCGTCCGAATGGGGTCACCCTGTTTTCGGCAAGAGGTTCCGCTGTACATTTCTGGGGCACTTCACCTTTTGGCTACCTTGCTCTGTAGGGTCTCCAGTGCAGCCAGATTACGTTTTAACTCGAGTTGTCAGGCCTGAATCGCGTACTCCACATGACGTCTCACATACGCATTGGACATTTACGTGAAGATGGGTCGAAGCGCCCGGACGCCCTCGCAGTTTCGGGCTACTTCACGGATTGCTCCGAATAGTGGAGGTCATCCTGAATCACCAGCCCATGGTCGCGATCTTGTTAGGAAGTCTTCAATGCGTGGTCATTCAGCTTGTTTGTATTATTAGGCTTGTGGCATATATCCACTACCTTACGATTATTTGCGGTGAAGGGAATTAGATTAGTCTTCGGCCACTCAAAAGCACCGTTCATGTCTCGTTGCAGTACATCATGATCTTCCTGACTACCCATCGTCCGCCGTATCTTGATGTTATCGGCAAAAGCAAGAAACTAAACTCGATGACGCGCGAGGTCGTTACTAAAGACGAAGAAGAAACGCGGCCCTAACACATTCCTGTGGAACGCCAGTCCACTTCAAATGAAATGTTTGTTTTATTATTCTCAGCCTTTGTCTGGCCATATTTGGAGTATCGCGTGCAGGCCTGTTCTCCATGCTTGGTCCGCTACAAGATGGTACTCGAACGAATTCTGAGGATTGGCACGAAAATGGTGCTAGGATATAGGCAGTTCTCGTATTCTGACAGGCTGCTCAGGTTGCAAATGTTCTCGCTTCAGTACAGGCGTCTTCCGGGCGGCCTGATCCTTACATATACTGACGGACAAGATTGGACCTGATCTAACTCGACTGTTCCATCCGGCTCAGATGCCATCACTTCGTGAGCACTCCCTGAAGTTGCATAAGCCCCGATGCGACCGCGTTAGAGCCGATTTTTGTTTATCACGCAGAGTCGTCGACTCATAGAACCCCTCACCCAGAAAACTCGTATTGCCGCCAACCGTGAAGGAGTTTAACCATCGACTTAATGCCCTTGAATTGCAGTCTCAGACCTTTCGTTTGGTTCTTAACTTCCATTTGCTTGACTTCTCACTCCTTCTTACTATTGTTACTTTAGCTACACCCTCTCATTTGTACTACAATTACTATTATTCTGGTTTTGTTAATTCCCTTAGCCTTTATTCTTTTTCACCTGGCCAGCACACTGGGGACTGCTAGTGCAGGCCGCGTGGGCACTGATTGGTTGACCGTGATGTTAATCAAGCGTATTGATTTGACTCTCCTCTTTTTCAAGTCAATTCTACGAACTCTTTCCTGGTTCAACGATGCATTAAGGATTGAACATCCATGGGAATTTCCTACCATTGCTGTCCAAATTAAACTTGAACTTCAACGGGATCGCACCATGGAACCCCAAACCTGCGCCCATAGCGGCGGCTATTGAATGAAAT